AATTTACCAACGCTAATTCATGGCAAAGGTGCCACTATAAAGAAAAAGGTTTTCTCTTTCAAACAGAAATAAATGTAAAAAATTCCACCAAGAAGGAAGGAAGTTATGGTTTTTTGAAAATTCGGCGCAAGAACTTTTGCACCCACCTAATATATATATATATATATATATATATATATATATTAGGTTGAACCGAAAGTTCGTTCGCACCATTTTCAAAAAATCATAACTTCTTTCCTACACGACGATTTTGCGCAATTTAAGTTTTGTTAGAAAGCGTAACGCATGTAGTTTCCAATAGTACTCTGCGTTGATACCACTGCTTTCAGATTGCAGAGATAAAAATGAAAGAACGAAAACATCCGAAATTCGGAATTTTTGAGAAACAATTCCAAAAATCTAGAAACTGCGCGATAAAATCCAGAAAAGCCATTATCCTAATTTTTCTTTTATTTGATTACTAACTGAGTTAAGTTTGTGTTAATCGAGCTCTTCTTTCAAAAATTATAATTTTTTGAAAAATAATGCCGAAAAATCAATTTCTTAGGAATTCGTAGGAAAGTGATTTTTCGGAATTTTTTTCCAAAAAATCATAACTTTTGAAAGAAGACCTCGATCAGCACAAACTCAACTCAGTTAGTAATCAAATGTAAGAAAAATTAGGATAATGGCTTTTCTGGATTTTATCGCGCAGTTTCTTGAATTTTGGAATTGTTTCTCAAAAATTCCGAATTTCGGATGTTTTCGTTCTTTCATTTTTATCTCTGCAATCTGAATATGCTGGAAAGTCTTCAGGGGATCTTTGGAAATTACATGCTTTACGCTTTCTAATAAAACTTAAATTGCGCAAAATCGTCGTGACGGAAAGAAGGTATGATTTTTTGAAAATGGTGCGAACGAACTTTCGGTTCAACCTAATATATATATATATATATATATATATATATATTAGGTTGGTCCGAAAGTTCGTTCGCACCATTCTCAAAAAATCATAACTTCCTTCTCTCACAATGGTTTTGCGCAATTCAAATTTTATTAGAAAGCGTGAAGCATGTGGTTTCCAATAGTCCCCCTGGCGACTTTCCAGCGTGTTCAGATTGCAGAGATAAAAATGAAAGAACGAAAACATCCGAAATTCGGAATTTTTGAGAAACAATTCCAAAAATTTAGAAACTGCGCGATAAAATCCAGAAAAGCCATTATCCTAATTTCTCTTATATTTGATTACTAACTGAGTTAAGTTTGTGCTGATCGAGCTCTTCTTTCAAAAGTTATGATTTTTTGAAAAAAAATGCCGAAAAATCAATTTCCTAAGAATTCCTAAGAAATTGATTTTCCGACATTTTTTTTCAAAAAATCATAACTTTTGAAAGAAGAGCTCGATCAGCACAAACCTAACTCAGTTAGTAATCAAATATAAGAAAAATTAGGATAATGGCTTTTCTGGATTTTATCGCGCAGTTTCTAGATTTTTAGAATTGTTTCTCAAAAATTCCGAATTTCGGATGTTTTCGTTTTTTCATTTTTATCTCTGCAATCTGAACATGTTGGAAAGTCGCCAGGGGACTATTGGAAACTACATGCTTTACGCTTTCTAATAAAATTTGAAGTGCGCAAAACCATTGTGAGGGAAGGAAGTTATGATTTTTTGAAAATGGTGCGAACGAACTTTCGGACCAACCTAATATATATATATACTAGGTCATTCCGAAAGTAATTTCGCTTTTTTTCAAACAGGCGCCACATTTCATGGAACAAAGGTTTCTGAGAGACCTTGGAAGCATTCGATGCAGCATTTCATTCTCTTTCTAATGATTATGAAATTGATACAAAACAGTCAATGAGCTTTCAGAAAATAACCAAAATCTGCTACCTATGCTTATTGAGATGGTCAAGTTTCACGATTTTTTAAAACTTTCATATCAATCCTCAAAAGGAGTTCAAGTAACGATTGATAGAGTAAACCTCGTAGAATACAGCACTTCTTTTTTCTCTTTCTCGTAGCTCGCCGTAATTTTTTAAAAGACTTTTTAACAAAGCCATCGGATTTTGGCAGTCCCACCTCAACAACAATCGCATCAAACATCAGTAGTTACTCGGAATTTCAAGCTTTCAAGATGGTTTTTGACTTAATATTGGTTTTACAATGCAAGTGAGAGTTTACGGATTCGAAATATCAAATTTGTAGTTTTCCGGGTACAGCCTGGGGGCTCCCTAAAAAAATGAATTGTGATGATTTTATCCCCGAAAACTAAACGAATCGGAAACAAAAAACACCCATTAGAAAGAGGAGAAGATGCTGCATCAAACAGCACCCGAGCTGCTCTTCCTTTGATGTTCTACAAGGATTTAGCTGTCCAAGTATGGAAATCGGTAGCATCAGTTAAAATTCTATTAAAAATGTATGACAAGCTATGGAAAAGAGAAAGAAGTTGCACTGTATTCTATGAGGTTTACTCTATCGAATCGTTACTTGAACTCCTTCTGAGGATTGATATGAAAGTTTCAAAAATTCGTGAAACATGACCATTTCAAAAAGCATGGGTCGCAGACTTTGGTTATTTTCTGAAAGCTCATTGACTGTTTTGCAACAGTTTTATAAACATTAGAGAGAGAATGAAATTCTGCATCGAACGCTACCAAGATCTCTTAGAAAGGTTTGTTCCATCGATTGTGGCAACCGTTTGAAAAAAACGAAAATACTTTCGGGACGACCTAATATATTAGGTGGGTGCAAAAGTTCTTGCGCCGAATTTTCAAAAAATCATAACTTCCTTGCCACTCCATGGATTTTCTTGATCTTAATTTCATCTGAAAGAGGAAACCATTCCCTTTACAAAGGTACCTTTGCCGTGAAGCGTCGTTAGAAAGTTCCAAAGCTAGCAGCAATTGAAGGAAAGTAGTCAAGATCGACATTTTTCAAGCTGGTTCACGAAAAATTCTGCAAGTATTCATATTTGATAGAGAAAATTTTGCACATTACAGTGGTACCTTTTTCATTGATTAAAACGAAGTAGATCGAGAGTTAGAAGCAATTAAAGAGAATTTCTTTAGTTTTGCAATTTTTGAGCACAATCAAAAAAGCTTAAAAACGTCACAGAATAGGCGAAAAACTCATAAACATGGGTTTTGTGATCTTCCCTTTCTAGCTGAGCGAAAATCATGCCAATCGGGAGCAATTTTTATTTTTCGTGATTTTTTCGGATTTTCGGGTCTGCGTTTTTCACGAAAATGAAAATTGCTCCCGATTGGCACGATTTTCGCTCAGCTAGAAAGGGGAGGTCACAAAACCCATGTTTATGACTTTTTTCGCCTGTTCTGTGACGTTTTCAAGCTTGCAGAATTTTTCGTGATCCCAGCTGAAAAAATGTCGATCTTGACTAGTTTCCTTTAATTGCTTTTAACTCTCGAACTTACCAACGCTAATTCATGGCAAAGGCACCGCTATAAAGAAAAAGGTTTTCTCTTTCAAACAGAAATAAATGTAAAAAATTCCACCAAGAAGGAAGGAAGTTATGGTTTTTTGAAAATTCGGCGCAAGAACTTTTGCACCCACCTAATATATATATATATATATATATCAGTGGCGTACCCAGGATTTCGGCTCGGGGGGGGGGGGGTGCGCGACAAAAATTTTTTTCTAATGAAGGTGCGTGGCGTTAGCCACGCACTTCGAAAGAATTTTTGGGATGCTTCTCAAAATTTTTGCGGGTCTTCGACCCCTAAAATCTGGAAAAAGGGGGCGTGGCGTTAACCACGCCCCCAAAAAAAATTTTTTTTATGAAGCTAAAATGAATTTTTGCAAAATTTAAAAAATTATTTTAATTATTTACAAGTACAGACAAGTCATTTGCACAATTTTATAACCCATATAAGTAACTTTCAAAAATTTCGCGACCCGTTCTCGGGGGGGGGGGCGCGCGCCCCCCCCCCCCCCCCCCGCCCCCCCCCCTCGGTACGCCACTGATATATATATATATATATATATATTAGGTCGTTCCAAAAGTAATGTCGCTTTTTTCAAATGAACGCTACATTTCATGGAAGCAAGCTTTCTAGGAGATCTTGGTAGCATTCGATGCAGCATTTCATCCTCTTTCTAAGAGCTATAGATTCATTGCAGAATACTCCATGAGCTTTTAAAAAAATTACTAAAATCTCCAACCTATGCTTTTTGGAAAGGTCAAGTTTCGCAATTTTTCTAACTTTATGTAATAAATTCCGGAAGGAGTCCAAGTAATGGATGGATAGAGCAAACCCTATGGGAAACAATATCAATTTTTTCTGCTCTCCGTATCTTGTCATGATTTTTGTAGAGATTTTTCAATAAAGTCACCGA